ATAAAGGACTTGTGAATGCAAACATGGCATTATTTGTTTGTTGTGGCGCGAGCAGGAATAGATATGCAGTTGTACGACCCTAAAAGGTTTTAAGAGCTGTTCGGGATTGTCTCATTTTAAATGAATTATTTTTTTTCGTATAGTCGTGGTTCGGGGTTAGCCGAAACATATAGCAGTTTGGTTATGCTATTAAACTTGCTGAATACACTTTGGACAGAGGATCAATTTTTTTCATAACATCAATTTTCCTGATTGTTCGGGAATAGTAAGGTTGCTTTGCTAAGATAATTTAAAAAGTGTAAGAATTCTCGAATACACAACGTCACAAACCCTTAAACTCTTTGAATCAAGTCAGTTTTTCAAAAAATGAGATATACGGCTGCGACTGATCGTTTATTCCTCTAATTAAATATGAACTATAGTCGATTAAGATTTTATGATGAGAGCCTGTCCAGGTTTCTTTTATTAATATGTTTTCAAAATGAAAATCATTTTTAATGATAATCATAGGAAATCTTCTTTCAGAAAAGGGTCAGCGAATCCATCGGATGAGCGTTACTTGTTTATATTTTAAGCATATAAAAACATGAGTAGAATACACGTTATTACTATTAAATCCTATTCAAAATGCACGCATACATAGATTGATAACATTCGATCTATTCTTTCGAACATTGTCTCGAATCAATATAAGATAGGACTTGACCATTTATTTGCACTAAATGAGAACAAATAACTAGTATTCATTCTTTTAAAGAGTTATCATGACCATTAAATTTGTTAGACACTCGAATATGAAGAAGAAAAAGAAATGACGGTTCATTTCCTAATGTCGTCATCATCATCTCAATTCCACATACGTTTAATGCGTGAAGAAGATCGCAATGAAGTATTATCTTTATTAATAAATTCATTTTTTTGGAGAAGAACCTTTAGCTAAATGTCTTGAATTAAATGAACCAATTGATTTTGTTAAAAATATTATAAAAGATGCATTACAAGATCAATGTTCATTTGTTGTGTATGACATTCAAACAGAACAGTTAGTTGGTGTTTGTCTTAGCATAAAAATATAAATCTTTTTCAACAACTTCAAACAAATTCACTTCTTCATATATTTATAATTGATATACTAAAGAATTATCGTGGTTATGGACTTGGCTCACAATTAATTTCAGCTAGTATTGAACATGCAAAAAAAATTCATGTCAAAGGAATTTATGCGGAAGCAACAAATATTTATTCAGTGAATTGTTTTAAACAACAAGGTTTTTGAAAGTTATTATCAATTTAATTATACTGATTATGATCAAATTCGTTTAGCAAATCTGATTGATTCTCTTGAAAATCAATGTTAACTTGTTGCACGAAATGTTTAAAAAACTTACATTATACTTAAAAAAATGAATACTTCAAGACACAAACCATTGAACAGCTAAATTATATTATCAAACATACTAATATGTATTGTATTTTATTTGTACTTAAATATATCGAATAAAATATGATTATCTACACTAAAGTAGACCGTATTAACTCGTTCGAAGAATCAGCACCTATACTAAACAACTATTTTTCTATTTGGTTCTAGTTAATTCTTAGAAAAACCATCTTGGGTGTGGGTGTGTACGGATATAGTTAAAAAGACAAGACATACACCCATACCCACCCACACCCACACCCACACCCTCAAGATAGCAAGTAATGTATAGATTAAGAACACTAACATATAAGAAGCAGAATAAAAATAGAAAGCAAGAAGAGTTTGTGAGAATTTCAATTTATGAAATAGTTTTCATTGACCTCAGATTAAAAAAAACTTAGCATTGATCAAGGAAAAATATTACAATACCTATTTGTCATTTTTTATTTCAGATTGAATAACCGTACATAGCACCAACAATGATCGTTCATCTGGTCGTCCAAGCAAATGTGTATCATTGCAATATCCTATGTTCAAACATGCTCTTCTAGAACAATCTTGTTCAAAAAGCGACATTCCCATTCTCGAACTCTAGCTGAAACTCCAATTTTTTCCGATAGATTGGTGACATCTAGACAAATCTCGGCTTCGAAATGGCGTATCATAAGACGAATTAATGAACGAATAAGAATTATCTATTTTTCATTCATTCATATATATTGCCCATGAAAAAACTGAGTCACATTTTGCGTCGCTAGTCGATGAAAATAGAAGAGAGAAAAAACAGAATGAAATCTAACTGTAAACAAAACGATGCCTTGATTGCGAAATAATGTTTTTCTCTCCTGTCATTGTATAAAATCATCGTATTTCGCAACGAAGTTACATTTTTATGATGTGTTTCGTTTGTACTCTGGATAAGCAAGTTGATTATCTTGTGTCTATTTGAAGTCGATACTTAGCACATATTTGTTTTTGATAAACGATTTATTAAGATGACCAAGTAGACAATTCTAGCGCACCTTGTATGCATAGTTTTTTTGCCCTTGACGTAGTTTAAAAACACCATCTTTTTGTCAAAGCTGTTTAGCGTATTATAACAGACCTATAAATGGTTGATAAAGTTTATTTTTATATGTGAGATATCTCTTTTTGATATACATTCTAGATTAATATTAGTGATTATGAGTGCTTCGATTGCTGCAAATGATCAATTTCATACAGTCATCATTCGTGGTGATCTTCCACAGGTTGAAAAGCAGTATAAAGCTGAAAAGCCAAGGAGTCTGCCACCGAAAAGGTATTGGCTCGATGCATTGATTGATTATTTAAGTGATGGAAACCGATGGAGAAGAAATATTGCATCAACACGATTCAAGTTGCAACATAGGATTTCTAATGGGCCATGTAAGTCGTTTGTTTAAAGAAGAAAAATTAACGGCATGAATATAGTATTAAATAAGTCATTTTATTGACATTATTCTTCTCAGGAAGCTTCTAGAAGTAGACAGTAAGAGTAACTTCAAATAAACTATTTTAGGCACAAGTCTTGTTAATCGACATGGATTATTCTCGGCTTTTCTTAACGCCTACAATTCACATGAAGACATCGTTCTTTCACCAGAGTGAGTTTGTCAGTTTTACATACAAAAATAACTTGGACTTGTAGAGCACACTTTATATTATATCTATTTAAGCGATTTTTGGCTGATGATCACCATTTATTTTGCGAAGTATGTTAACGGCAATGTCGAAAAATTGCGCCATGTTCTTGTTAATCACGACGAAAAAATCAAATTGACCATTGTACAGACACTATCTGAACCTGAGTGAGTTATTGTTTTACTCCTGAAAAAACTTTTACAGACGAATAAAAACATGTCTTCGTATTGTCTTTTCTAGTTGGAATACATTTCTCGAAAGTATGCGAAACGAAATAGCCAAAAATATTAATAATGACATTGTTACACTGTTAACAGTTAACTATTCCACGACCGGCAGAGTGGAATCATTGTTGTCCTATGCGACAATCATGAATACTTTTAGAGAATATTTTAAATATCAACTTCACTGGACATTGTGCGGTATCCGGAGGGTACATTTCCTGGGTACATTGGATGATTGGTTACTTCTTCGACAAAAGACAGAACAACTAAAGAGTTTTACAACATTTCAGGATGATTTTTATACATACATCGAAAGTATTTTGCCCATTCTTGACCAACTGATAAATACTTATCAAAACAAAGTAGACAACGAATTTTGGGACAAAATTTTCAATGTAGAACATAAGGGACCTGAATCAGGGTGAGTAATTTTCATCGTTAATAGTGTGTCGAAGTTCGATCTCTGTTGTTATTGAGAGAATTCGAAGACAGCAATATTTCTCTTTAACAGGAGTTACACGAAGCTTACAGGCTGGTTTCTTCAACTTTGCTACGGACTTCATACGAAAACAGAATGCAACATGGATGAAGTTGCATTACATCCAATTGTTACATCAGTTGAATTCGTAAGTGAACCTACGAACGAGAAGAAAACATGTTATGTGGTAGGTGGATTTCATGGTATTGAGAGTCGCGATGGATGGCACAAGCCTGTTATGTCTTTGTCCATCATAGATGATCTTTCAACGATTACACCACTTAAATCATAATCAACAAATAAACATTCTCCATACTTAATCGAGACATTATTTTTTTCACAATAACTTATTCTTATGTATTGTGGATGTGGGTGTAAGTATAGATAACTCATCAATACCCACACCGATCCTTATCCTCAAGATTTTGATCTAAATCATTCATTTGTAACGATTTCTTGGATCGTATATTTTAACACGTAATAGCAATTCAAATTTACGACAATATTTCAACTGAATCTTTCATACAATCGTTTTTCTTTTGTCATGCGTTTTTAGATCATATAGTTAATGCTTGATATATGCTTCGATTTTATTAAAATAATCGAAAGAATCTTTGTTTTACTTATTCATTATTGTAATCTTTTCTTTAATAATGTATTTAAGTGCTAAGATATAATTGAAATTTGTTGAAAATGAATGGAATATTAAATTTGATTACATAATCACATTCTCATAAAGACAAAAAAACAATGATAAAATCATGAATATTTTTAGAGTATCTTGATTTTTTAAAATGTATATTCCAGTTGAACTTGATAATATACCCGTAAATTGTTTATCAGTAATTAGTCTTGGATTATTCATATTTGGTTCTATCCAATCATTAGTCTGTAAACAGTTTCTATAGGCTGAATATGCCTTATAATTATTCCAAATAACATCACCATGTGTACCACCAAATACCATATTATCCTGAGTGGGTTGATCAGCATTATAATAAGATGCCATTTTAATATTATTGTTATTTATATAATCACACATTTGACGCAACCATTCATTTTTTGACTGCACATCTGTAGTATTTCCTGTTCGTACACCAACTGTTGCATATGCATTCACAGAGATCGGTTTTGTTGATGATAACTTGTTGAATCGACCCATCATATTATCAAGAATTTCATTTGGCCATTCCCATTTACTCCCATTAGCACTTGAACCTGCATTAAATACATTAATTCCTAACCAATCTGTATAATTTGCTCCAACCCAATAATCTTCTGCAGTATATTGACCATAGTCTTTACTCGCTACACTCCAAACCCATTGAAGTCTTGTTGCATTTATACCTTTATTTAATAATATATTATAAGTATGACGCCATGCCAAAACAAAATTGTTTGGAATAGAACCTTTTGACCACGAATACCAATTTCCATTCATTTCATGACCTAAAAATTGATACAACATTCTATGATGATATATCATCTCAGAAGAACTTCGAAATGTGTTTTATGATCAAAAACTGCTTTCTCATGACAAATAAAGAATAAGTGTAGACTATATGTTATTTCATACCTAGTCGTACAAATGCCCGTCGATCATCGTTAGTTCCATAAATACCATCAGGGCCAGCCAACCAATTTTTCATACGATCACCAAATTTATTAATGTATGGATCATAACTATTGTTATTAATTCTTATCGTTATTCCTGGATCGTCTTCATTAGTATGATTACAAAGAGTTATTTCCCATGTTATGAATGGGATCATACTACGATTCCATACACTATTCATATCAAGATCAAAAAATGAATCCAATGAATTATCACACCAATCAGTGTAAATGTCGATACTTGCCTGACGTTTGCCCACCCACAATGATAAATTACCTGTAGAATCCATCATAACTGATGTTAACTTGTAATTAACTATTGTAGCATGTGTGACTTTTATTGACGGAATGAAAACAAATAGTAATAGAATTTGACTGAAAATTTTAATCAATTCCTTCATCTAAAATTATGCAAAAACAAATAGGATGTATGAGTATCGTCTTATTACTCACTCTATCTAACTATTTTTTCACTTAAAAAAATCTACGAATTAAATCGTAGCTGAAAGCACCAACATTTTTACGTATGTTATGTGCTAAAAGAATCAATTGAAAGCGCGGTATGATCATGGTATGACTTTTTTTAACTGTCCCTTCAATCTCTACTGAACGCAATAATTATTTTTAAAAGAATATTCTTAATATAATTCTCGAGTTGACACTCACTTTGCTTTATAATATAAAACGTAACTATGATATGCATCTTCTACTATCAGAAAAAAATGACAATGTGTCAACATAGGTCTTATCAGAATGCATCTCTATTCTTAAATGATAAGATTTAAAACTTTTATTATTATGAGATTGACGATCATAATTCTTGAAATATTATTTATCTATGTGAGCAGCACAAACACCCAATTTTTTTCAAAATGCATAGAGGCTATACGCTACAAAAAATCATCACCTTCAAAAACATTCTTTTTAAAATTCATTTTAAGATTAGAATATAAAACAAAATCGAATTTTTTTGATGAAATTGTGATTTTTATATCAAAAATGTCCAATACAATTTATTTTATGTAACAAAATCAAACGCGCTACAAAAATTCTTTCATCGTCTTTTTCGAATTTGAAATCTTCTCTTATGTTAACCACTCTATTCAGTATAAGTCCATAGGCAGCGGATCGTAGAGGCTCGTGAGGCTTGAGCCTCGTCTGATTTTGACGTCTGTAGGCTCAGCATTACCTGAATTGGACTCTATTACGCTTAGAAGCAGTTAGAAAAGCTCCATAGAACTTAAAAATTTATAATCCTAATAGTCTTCACATGAATGGAAAATAATGACAATGAAATAGAATATGTAAGAGTAAATAATTGCAGTTAACATTGGTAGAATATGAAGAAAGAATCGTCTTTTTCGTGTTGCCATCAGAGTATTATGAAATATAAGTAGATGTCGTTCAACTGAACCACAAGCAGCAACCCATGTTAATGCAGTAGTTACTGAGTATGTCCACCAATTCCACCATGCACAAAACTTGGTGTTTCACAAATAACTCTTCTATTTCGATTCTGATACAAAGCAATTGGATAATTAATGATCATATCCAAAAAACAGAGAAGAATTAATATAAAAGTTAAATGTTGATAAAAATAAATAAAAATAGGAATTGAACATGGAATAGATATACTTAATAAGATAATCATAATCGAGAATTTAGCATCTAAGATTCGTGACATTTCATCATTCTTCTCTTTTCAAGACTAATTATTTTTAAATGACGTATTCTCAAATTGAAGTTATAGATTTCAAAGAATATAACTCTCGTAATTAATGTCGAGAAATAGTCTTGACTCCTCCTACTAAACTAACCGACGTTTAACAGAGATATGAACCAAACAAGAGTAAAAAATAGCTCATTTTTCGTTCCAAGTTTTCTCAGTCCCGACTCTACCATCATGTTTTAATTTTTGTTTGTTTAAAAGGACATCTCAGGATGCGGAACAATATGAAATTTTTTTTTTGTAAATTCTTACTTTTTTACCGAAGAAAAGACATCGCAAGTTCAATGAGTGAAAGAACGCGCGAAAAAAGGAATCACATTTTTTGAAACGATTTTTTATGTGAACTTTGTCGGATCGAAGTTTTTTTTTTCTATCAGTTAGTCTATCTCTCATATTTTGTTGTATGAATTTTGAGTGAGGGAAGGGGGCTTAAATCAGTTGTTTAATATGAAAAAAAGTATTTGTTTTGATTAAAATATCTTTGTAATTAATAAATTCCTATTATATCTTTATGTACTCTTCATCCGAAAGATTTTATTTTCAGTAATAATTATAGTCTTTGATGATCACGCTTTCATTAATGATTTTCATATGCGATAAACCATTCGTAATTAACAGCGGCATTAGAGTTTAACAATAACATAAAAAGCATTGGCAAATATAACACCGACATCGACACCGACACCGACACACACCCACACCCTCTAGTTGGTCGAATACATATAGGCATTCCTAGAATATCCTTCAAAAAAATTCTATCGCTTATTTTCTAGTTTACAGTGTAATGTACGAAATGAACGTTTACGTACACAAGATCGTGAGTTGATGAAAATACTTTCAATTCAAGTCATTTCTAGTATTATATGTATAGTTTCATTTGCGATTGATACTATTTTTAATGCAGCTGTAATAAATCTTACTCATTCATTATTCTTTATGGTAATCAATACATTTGCTGGCGCATTAGCTCGTATTTTATATACTTTAATCCAGTTGTCGAATTTTGTATTTATATTACCGTCGCTACCAAAATTTCGTGAAAATTAAAGACCTTGTTTTTTTGGCTCGTTATTTTTAGACGAAATTCCCAAATTACCTAATTAGAAATAATTGATTGTATTATGTTTTATATGAGAAAAAGATAATATTATTTAAATTTTTATTTATTTGAATTTAA